TTTTTTTGTTACGAAGAAGTCACAGGGGGGGAAGGGTGGGGAGGGGGGGGTTAGGGAGGGGGGGGAGGGGGGGGAAAAGGGGGAAAAATTTGTATTTGAAAACCTTTTCAATAAAAAAAAAAAAAAGAAGGGCCGCAACTGGCGAATCAGGCGAACCTGACAAAAGGTCCCCCTGGTTACAGCCGTCAGATGTTCCTCCAAGGACAGCTGCATATCCAGGAGGACTCCCAGATTGCGAGCCCTCTCTGTGGGGGGCAATGACTCGCCCCCAATAGTCAGTGATGGAGTCAACTGACTATATCGGGATGACGGGAGCCACAGCCACTCAGTCTTGGAAGGGTTGAGCTTGAGCCTGTTCCTCCCCATCCAGATCCGTACAGCCTCCAGGCACTGGGACATCACTTCAAGGGCATCGTTGGGGTGGCCTGGGGTGGAGATGTACAGCTGGGTGTCATCAGCGTACTGGTGGTATCTCACCCCAAAGCCACGGATGATCTCACCCAGCGGCTTCACATAAATGTTGAACAGGAGAGGCGAGAGGACCGATCCCTGCGGCACTCCACAAATGAGAGGCCTCGAGGTCGACCTCTGCCCCCCTGCCAACACAAACTGCGAGACGGTCGGAGAGAAAGGAGGAGAACCACCGCAACACGGTGCCTCCCACCCCCAACTCTTCCAGCCGGTGCAGCATGATACCATGGTCGATGGTATCAAAAGCCGCTGAGAGGTCTAACAGGACCAGAACAGAGGAACAACCCCTGTCCCGAGCCCTCCAGAGATCATCAACCAACGCGACCAATGCCGTTTCTGTGCTGTGCCCAGACCTGAAACCCGACTGGAACGGATCTAGATAAGATGTTTCCTCCAGGAATTGCGGAAACTGTCGTGCGACCACACTCTCAACAACCTTCGCCATAAAGCGAAGGTTGGAGACAGGACGATAGTTGGCCAATATTGCCGGATCCAGGGACGGCTTCTTGAGGAGAGGCCTCACCACCGCTTCTTTCAAGGCGGTGGGGAAGTAACCCTCACTCAACGAAGCGTTGATAACACCCTGGAGCCAGCCTCGTGTAACCTCCCGGGAAGCCAGTACCAACCAGGAGGGACACGGGTCCAGTAAACACTAAGTCGCACTAAGTCTCCCCAAAATCCTGTCCACATCATCAGGAGTCACAGCATCAAACTCCTCCCAGATAACATTCTCAAGACTATTCCTCGTCACCCTGCCCTGATCTACCCAGTCAGAGTCCAAATCCCCCCGGATCTGGGCGATTTTGTCATACAGGTATTGTCCGAAATCCTCCGCCCTGCCTTCTAAGGGATCCTCCCGCACTCCCGGATGGAGCAGGGCGCGGGTCACCCTAAACAGGGCGGCCGGACGATTCCCTGATGACGCAATAGAGGCGGAAAAGTAGTTAGACTTTGCCGTCTCTATCGCCACTAGGTAGGCCTTAATATGCGTCCTTACCAGTGTTCGATCAGATTCAGCGAGACTGGCCCTCCAACCGCTCTCCAGGCGTCTTTTCCGGCGCTTCATTTCCCTCAGCTCCTCAGTAAACCAAGGAGCCGCACGGGATCGGCATCAGGTCAGAGGCGCAAAGGCACAACTCGGTCCCAGGCGGCTACCAGGTCCTCGGCCGAGTCATGTGCTAGATCCTCAGGAAATGGCCCAAGCTCCGTCTGGAACCTATCAGGATCCATCAGGCGCCTGGGGCGGATCCATCTAATTGGATCCGCCTCCCTGCGGCGAGGGGTCGCGGTTCGAAGATCTAGGCGAAGGAGTGAGTGGTCAGACCATGACAAGGGTTCCATGTCTATATCCCCTATAACAAGACCACTCAACCACTGGCCAGAGACAAAAATCAGATCCAGAGTGTGACCTCCCCTGTGAGTAGGGCCATGAACTAACTGGGTCAGGTCCATGGCCGTCATGGAAGCCATGAACTCCCGAGCCACCTCAGACGTTTCACCGACGGATGGCAAGTTGAAATCACCCATGACTAAAAGCCTGGGTGTATCTACTGCCACCGTGGCTATCACGTCGAGTAGCTCAGGTAGGGCTGTTGCCACGCGGCAGGGAGCCAGGTACGTAAGCAACAAGCCCATCTGAACCCCACGTTGTCAAACATATGTCCCTGCCATTTGACCTGAACCCATATCAATCTTCTCCCTGTTTTTTTCTTGTGCCATCTAAGAGCATGGTACTATCTCAGTCTTAATTTATGTTGATCTGGATAGACTCCTACTTTCCAGGGCCAGGGGGCCTAAGTGGCCAACTGAGTAAACAAAGAAATGCTCAAGATGACTAATTGGGAAGTCTCTATTCCCCCTTGCAGGCAACAAGGAATGCACGGGCCTGGATTGGGAGGCCAGAGTTGGGTACTAAGCTGACGTCTCTGAGGGTATAAAAGGACGCCATACCTTCCCCGAGGTGTGGCTATCTCCTTGCATGCATTGTATCTGTATGTTCTGGATATAGTTCCACCCAGTATTTTGTTTTTGGCCATAAATAAAATCTGTTTTTTTGCAAGCCTCTTTGGCATTCTGGTGACTCAAGTGTTTTATGGGACCTTACACTGTCTTCCGTTGGAATGCAACGTGTATATGGTTTGTATGTTTTATGTTTTAACTGTACACCACCCAGATTCCCTCCGTGAATGAGATAGGCTGTCTCCAAATTTGATATTTAAATCAGTAAATGAACTTGTGTTTACAATATATGAACCAGCCAACAAAAGGCACCTTTTGTATGGATTTTTTGAGCATATGTAATCCCACATATGCAGCCCTTTAATAGCAAAAGATGGAAATGGGAACACAATACATTACAGAATATATAAATTGGCAGGGCAAGCTACTGTGTATAATGAGGGAGCAAGGCACCCTGTTATTAAGCTGGTTATTAAGTCCAGCTGCCTGCAATTACTGCAGGGTTCGAATCTCGCCAAGGCTCAAGGTTGACTCAGCCTTCCATCCTTTCTAAGGTAGGTAAATTGAGGACCCAGTTGTGGGGGCAGTAAGCTGACTTTGTATAAAATATGCAAAAGGATGAAGGCTATTGCTGAGCATATTGTAAGCCGCCCTGAGTCTTTGGAGAAGGGCGGCATATAAATCAAATTATAAAAAAAAAAAAAAACCCACTCCCTTCTAGCACTGATGATGTTACTTAGTTGGATAATGGAATGTCTACAAGCAGCAAGCAAGGTCAGAGAGCACCAAGGACCCCATAATTCAACCTTGAGCTACATAAATTTTCTTATCTTGAGAATAAATGACCAATTACCGAACATCCATTCAACTCTAATAGCCAGCAAATCAAACAAAGTTGTTTGACCAGAGTTCACAGGTTGCATTCCTCATCTTCACTGGAAGCAAACTAAATACTGGCTGATTTCTGGAACTTTTATTCCTAGTTTCTGTGAAAAATATCAAACCTTAAAAAAGAAATGACATTTGTTGGAGTGTTTCCTTAGTTGCTTCAGCTTTCAGGTTCAGCAAGCCATGCTTTAATTAAAAGAGAAAACTCAAGATGCCTGCAGTTCAAGTCACAGGCTCTTAGCAAAGTAAGAAGCAAAATGTATTCCCCAATATATTCCCCCAATATTCTTTTTATTTTTATTTTGCTCCAGTTTGCAAAATATTGAGTCAAAATGTGGATTACTGTCAGCCTCAGCTTTGCCTGCTTCAGCTGCCATAAGAAACGGGGGAGGGATTAGATAGGGGAGGCAATGGGGGGGGGAAGATGCAGGAGGTGTTTTTTTTCCATTGTAGGACGTGTCTTCCCGAGAAACGAAAGTGAATCTTCAAAGGGGACGGCTGACCAACTGCCCTACATTCCTGATGAATGACGCTGCCAGACATGATGCCACCTGACCTTTGGGAGACCTTTGGATTGGCTGATGATCAATGGACACGGGGGAGGGGGGGAGAAGCTTAGTAGATGCTATTTTGCTCACTTCCAGCTTTACCTGGGTTGCGATCATTTCATATTCAGTAAAAGTACTAATCTCTTCAAAATGTTTGAGTTTGGGTTTTCCTTTCCTGAATATTGAAGGAATTGCTTGCCAATGGCTTCGTTTTATTTAACAAGTCATGATTAAAAGAATAATAACATTGCAGTAGAACCTAACCATTTCTTGTTTTGTGCCTCTAAATCATGGATCACTTGTTGCACATTTCAGATCCTTCACACAAAGGAGGCAAGGATTTAAAAGCCCAGACAGACTCAGTTGCCATGCCCATGTGTAACATGTGATCTTAGACCAGTGTTTCTCAACCTTAGTCACTTTAAGCTGGGTGTTTGAATGGCAATATATTTTTTGAATTGTAATCTGTCCAGAGTCATTGACTGAGATGGAAACCTACAGAAATTGAATAAATAAATTAATAAACATGGTATGGATGAGTTGTTATAGTTTTCGATAATGGTTTGAATCTGGAGAAAGCCCTATATTTGCTTATTAAATGAAAAATAAAGGAATTAAGTGTCTCACAACCGACTGACTTGCCCTCTCAAATTCCATGCATTCAGCCGGTCTATTTAAAGACCTGTTTCCCACACGCTGCTTAAGCTATGGTTGGTTAAAACCACAGTTTATTTAAACCATCCTTGGCTGGCTAATGCAACCTGAAGTTCATGATTTGTGTAAACGGCTTGCAATGAATCGTGGCCTGTACTGAAGCCAATCGTTTGGGCTTGGGAAGGAGTTGGACTAGGACCAGCAGGATCCAAACTCAGGTCTACTTCACAGGGATGCTACTGTTTGGGGGACACAGCCAGGAGATAACAGCGCTCTGTATCTCCTGGGGCAAAACGCAAGAGGAGTCTCAGCCTAGAAGTGTCCCCCCCCCCCCCACCAGCCCAATGCATTTCCACAGCGGATTATGGAAGGGATGCAGTTCGCGGGTCCCTCCGGAAGGAGGCGAGCAAGAACTCCCAAGTGCCGGCCGGTGCCAGCGCTCCTCCGGGGAAGGGCGGCTGCCCTCACGCAAGATGGCGGACGAAGCGCCTCCTCCGCGACATCTCGCGAGGCTTCGCGGGATCAGGACGTGGAAGAGGCCGGCGGCTTCGGCGATGGAGTATATCACGACGCCCAAGGTGAGGCGGGAGGGGGCGGGGGACATTTGCCACCCCCGCGCGCCCCCGACATGTGGAGGGGGGTCTCTGGGCATGTGCAGAGCGCCTGCCCGCTGGCCCGAGCCCTTCCCGGGGGCTCGGCGTCCCCGCGGGGCTGCGTTCCCACGTGCTCCGTGGGGCTGGGTTTCCCCCCAGGGGGAGACGGGAAGCGAGCCGGACTGCCTGGGCGAGGGGTCAGCCCCTTCGGGAACCCACGAGGGGGCTTCCCACGTGGGGCTGACAGACGACACGCGTTTCCGGGCGCTCCGAGCTCGCCCGCACACGTGTCACGCGCCGGGGAAGGAGCCCCAGGGTTGTGTGAATGCAACAACGGGAGCGTGGCTGAGCAGGGTTGCCGACTGGCTCACTTATTAGATCAGTTTATAGAGCTGCCCTCTTGCAGCGCTGAATGAAGGCCAGTCTACCTCACAGGGCTTATTTGGGAAGAGTAGGAGGAGCCACCTTGAATTATTTATACAGATATTATGTATTGATTATATGTATTTTTATTTTATATATATATATATGTAGGTCTTTGGTTATTCGGGTTTTCTCCCGCGTAAAATTGGAGGTTTCTTGGCAACGTTTCAACGAAGTCTCATTCGTCATCTTCAGGCTGGTGTCTTCGGCTTCGTGCTTCTAGGAGCAATGTGTGTGATCGCAGCTCCTAGAAGCACCCAAAGATGACGAATGAGACTTCGTCGAAACGTTGCCAAGACACCTCCAATTTTACGCGGGAGAAAACCCGAATAACCAAAGACCTACATACAAACACCCGCGAAAACCTCAGAAAACATATATATATATACACATACACATACACATGCACATACACATACACACAAACACACACACACATATTTGTATAATGATTTATTTTTTCGTTGCATATTTATATTATGCATAGGTATAAATAACTTTGTATAAATACTACATATGTTTGTATATAGTAATTTTATGATATTTTATAAAATGCTATGTTTAAATATGTTTATGTTTATACATTTATACATTTATAAAACATTTAAATGTATATGAGATATACTACTTCTATATTAATGGAAAAGGATAAAAATAGAATAGTAATTATAAAGTGCTTTGTAATTTATTTTTATTCAAGCCAACCAAAGTAAAAACAATGGCCACGTTGTAATAGTGGACTGGCATTCAACCCCCCCCCCCCCCCGCCCTCCCATCCCAGGGCTGAAGCCAGCAGTGGCAATACAGCAGATAAAACTAATGGTGCATCCAAAGACAGGACCACCAGGTTGAGTTGGGTGGGGATGATGGGTATGCCAGTCCAGCATCTCTTGGAGGGCACCCAGTTGTAGCTGTTTTCAGGGCTGGTGGCTTCCAAGCTGGTGGGAAAAGGGAGTGGGTCCCTTCCCTTTGAGATCTGGCCAGCCTATCCTGGCCCTGATTTTTAGTCTCTGTTCTAACAACCCCCTGAAATACACACTTTTTTTTTAAAAAAAAAAATTATTTTATTTTTTTTATTTTATTTCTATACCGCCCTTCTCCCGAAGGATTCAGGGCGGTTTACAGCCAATTTAAAAACACAAGACACAACAATGATTAAAAATTAAAATAATTAAATAGATTTGGCCAGTTTAAAACCCCAAAAACACTCATCTCAGTGGGCTTGTGGACCTGGGCGCTCTGGTTTAATGGAACAAATTGGTTCTTCTTCTTCTAGTGAGTGTGAGGTGCTAAAAGAACCATCCAAAGTAGATGGGGACCTGGATGTTGGACATTGGGAAAAGGTACATTTCTCATCGCAGGATCAAGGGTCCTCTGAACATGTGTAGAGTACATTTTCTTTGGTTACATCTGGCTTTACTGCTGAAGAGAGGTGCCAAGGCAAACACGAGCATGGCTTCTCCACAATTGTGATTCCATTCCTTTTCTTCCCAAATACCAAGTTTCAATTTGTCTCCCATTTAAACTTAGAAATACTTAATTTCTTAGTTGTAGCTTGGTAACCTTTCTGCATCTACCATTCTTCTTATTACTTTATCTTACAATCTTTCTGTTTCAACATTACTTTAGTTTATGCTGCGTTATATGTTCTGATCTGCGGTTAAACAGTCATCTCACAGGTAGTCCTTGACTTACAGCCATTCGTTTAGCAATTGTTCGAAGTTACAATGGCACTGAAAAAATCGATTTACAACCAGTTCTCACATTTACAATGGTCACAGCATCTCCATGGTCATGTGATTAAAATTTGGGTGCTAGGCAACCGGCATGTATTTATGATGGTTGCAGTACCCCAGGATCAATGGAAGAAGCTGAATTTGCTGAACAACAACTTGATTCACAGTTGTTTTGTTTAACAACAGCAGTGATTTGGTTAATAACTACTACTGCTGGAACTACAACTACTGGAATGGTATAGTCCCGTGATGGTGAACCTGTGGCATGCAGAGCCATATTGGTGGGCACGTGAGCTCAGTTCCGGTGCGCATGCATGTGAGAGTCAACTAATTTTTGGGCCTTTTGGGCCCACCGGAAGTAGGGTAACATGTTGTTTCCTGCCTCCAGAAGGCCTCAGGGGGCTGGAGAAGGACCGTTTTTTTGCTCTCTCCAGGTTCCAGAGCCTTTCTAGGAGCCTGGGGAGGGCGAAAATGGCTCAGGCTCCTAGAAAGCCTCTGGAGCCTGGGGAGAGAAAAACGGGCCTTTCGGTCCCACCGGAAGTCGGCAAACGGGTCATTTCCGGTCTATGGAGGGCCTCCGGGGTGGTGGGGAAGGCCATTTTCGCCCTCCCCAGGCTTCTAGAAAGGCTCGAGCCCGAAGAGAGCAAAAAACGGGCCTTCCGCTCCCACCATGCCATCGTGTGCTAAAAGCGGGGGGAGGTCGGGGGGGATTGCACACGCATGGGGGGTGGGGCGCATCGAATTATGGGTGTGGGCACGTGCACACTCCCCACGCTTTTGGCACGCGGTAGCAAAACGGTTAGCCATCACTCGTATAGTCTCTCCTGCTTGAGAGGGGGTTGGACTAGAAGACCACACAAGGTACCTTCCAACTCTGTTATTCTGTTACTATGATTTACTTAATAACTTCAATAATTCTTTTAGCAACTGGGGGGGGCAAAAGGTTGTAAAATTGGGCATGATTTGCTTGGCAACTGCCTTGCTGATCAGTGGGAATTCTGATCCCAATTGTGATCATAAGTTGAGATGACTTGCAACAGTTCATTGAGTGACTGTTCAAAGTTACAACAGCACTGAAAAAAGTGACTTGTGACCATTTTTTACACTTATGACTGTTATAAGATCCCCATAGTCATGTGATTTACATTTGGATGCTTGGCAACTAACTTACATTTATGACAGTTGCAGTGTCCTGGAGTCATATGATCCTCTTTTGTGACCTTCTGATAAAGTCAGTGGGGAAACCGGATTCATTTAACAACCATGTTACCAATTTAAGAACTGCAGTGATTCACTTAACAAATGTGGTGAGAAAAGTCGTAAAATGGGGCAAAGCTCACTTAACAAATTTATCATTTAACAACATAAATTTTGGGCTCAATTGTGGTCGTAAGGTGAGGACTACCTGTACTTGTCCCTGTTTCCACTAGCCTTTTGTTCTCTTCTATCAAGTTGGAGCCTATGTATCTTCAGGGTGTGGTTTTCAATTCAAAGACCCGGCAAATGAGTACTAGAATGTGCAGGATCCTCAGAGGGCTTTAGGAGCACGTGCAGAGTGCATCCTTTTGTGCTCCAATTATAACCAAGGTATTAAAATTCCTTTGCAAATCTCTCTGCTTGCCTGCTATCTTTGTCTCTCCGTGTTTTATTCTCTGAAAAGATGATTATTTTTACCCATCCAGATTATTGCCTTGAGCAGCTGGCCAAATCAGTTGCCCAGAGAGTGTTTCTAGCAATACAATTTTTCCCATTAAATGTGCTGCTGGGAAGCTGGCTAACTCCTAGAAGAGTCTCTGGTGAAGTTTCTAAAGTGCCTGAAAGTCCAGCAAAGATAATTGGTTTATTTTATGAGGCCGTAACCTTATTTTCAGGGGTGTTTGGAAGCAGCAGGCTCTCCAAAGGACCCAAAAGCATGTAAATTTGCACTTCCTACCTATTTTAGATAGAGGGACGTGGTGGCTCAGTGGCTAAGACACTGAGTTTGTCGATCGAAAGGTCAGCAGTTCAGCAATTCAAATCCCTAGTGCCGCATAACAGGGTGAGCTCCCGTGACTTGTCCCAGCTTCTGCCAACCTAGAAGTTCGAAAGCATGTAAAAAATGCAAGTAGAAAAATAGGGACCACCTTTGGTGGGAAGGTAACAGCGTTCCGTGCGCCTTTGCCATTGAATCATGCCAGCCATATGACCACAGAGACATCTTTGGACATCGCTGGCTTTTCGGCTTTGAAACGGAGATGAGCACCGCCCCCTGGAGTTGGGAACAACAAGCACATATGTGCGAGGGGAACGTTTACCTTTACCTTACCTATTTTAGATGCAGTTAATAATGAGAAGGTTGCTTTCAAAATTGTTCCAGTGGCACTTCTCAGCTTGGGGGACTTGGATTCTTCAGGTGTACTGAAAGTTTATGGTTTCAAGAAAACCGTAAAATATAAAATATAGAAATACAAAGAAAAATGAAAATAAGGAAGGAAAAGCGAAAGAAGGAAACTAATTAAGGAGAGAAGCAACCTACAACTAAGGAGAAGTTTCCTAACAACAATTAACCAGTGGAACGCCTTGTCTCCAGAAGTTTTGGGTGCTCCATCACTGGAGGTTTTGAAGAAGAGATTAGACAACCATTTGTCCGGAATGGTATAGGGTTTCCTGCTGGAGCAGGGGGCTGGACTAGAAGACCTCCAAGGTCCCTTCCAACTGTTATTCTGTATAGGGTAAAGGGAAAAAGGGAAAAAAAAACCATTGACTTCCAATTCCTTTTGGCTCAGTAGAATAAGGTAATAACATAGAACCTCAACTTTTTATTTTTACATAATAATATATGCTAGC